ACGGGGGGGAGAGCAGCCGCGCAGGCCGGCAGACCACCGTGTTGTCGCACGGGGATGAGGCAGGGGCCACAATCCCACCCGAACATGTGCCGGGACCTCCCTTCAGCCCAAACTCCAAAGCGGGGCTGTACGAAGCTTTATCGCCACCGGCCCTCGCACCCCACGGGTTTGCTTTGGTCTACTCAGAAAGGATAGTTACACGTCAGGCGATTTTACGGGAGGCTCTTCTACTTTGACGGGCGGCTCTACCGGCTTCGGCTCTTCCTCCTGCAAGTCAAGGAGTTGAGAGGAGGTCAGATAACGAATACTCCGGCCAGCTGAGCAAGAGAGAAACACCACAGCGGGGACGCTGTCACGTCTTTTGGGTTCTCGCCGGTTTAAAAGGCACGCGCCTGCAATCCAGCCTGCAGGCATCCAGAGATCTCCGTCTTGCGTGTTGAACTCGGCCCGCTCAGGCAAGGTGTGCGGCAAGAGGTAACATTTCGTGCTCACAGCCTCAGCCTGGCAGGGCTTGAACACCAGCTGTTACGGACGCAGACTCTTGTTTTATCCAAAGTCTGATCCCTTACCAGAAAGTCTGGGCTTCGCAAGGCTTCGGGAATAACTCGAGTGAGATGTTCTCAAGCCCGCAAGCAGAGCCAAAGAACACCAAAACCACACAGCGCTCACGCTCGACGCCCGGCATCGATCCGGTAAGACCCACCTCACTTCTCACCAAAGGCTTTTTGCGAAACCGGGGAGAAAGCTTCCACATCCTCCACCCGTCCTCGCAGGGCGCGCGCTCGCCAGGCGGCAAAGAGCCCGACAGTTGGAAGAAAAGGTTCCCGCTGGTGTTCCGACCACAAAGCGCTTTCCCAGGTCGGATCTCCTCACCCCCCTCAGAACAAACTCTCCTGCTTTAAGGCTCGCTCCCACAGGCCACCCAGCCAAGCCCACACCCGGCGCTGCCAGGGCACCAGCCGGGCCATTTCTTCCTACATATCCTTTCTTAAAAGCACACCACGCTCCAACCGCATTTGCTGTTCAGTTCGTGACAAAAAACACAGGGCAACGCGGCGCGAACCCTGCCGAACGTGGACGGAATGACCCCGCTCGGAACCGGCGGCCACGCACCAAGATTACACACGCTGCCAGAAACCTCCACCGCGCGCTCGGCAGGCTAACACGGCGACACCGAGCCTCCGCAGGTAAAAAACTCGGGTTTAGACCCAACAAGGCACGACAACGGTGCATGAAAACAGACACGGCCCCAGGTATTGCCTCGTTCCTCATGCGCCGAACCACGACGCAGCCGGCGGGAGGTCGCACGCCGCCAGGCAAACCAGAAACCCCCTGCACGGGCCGCTGCCAGGAGAGTCTGCCCAAAAGAAGACTTACCTCTATTTCTTCTCCCAGAACGTCTTCTTCATTTGCTTCTTCTTCAGCTGGAGGAGAAAACAACAGCGCAGTTGCAGTGGCAAATTACTCCGGGGATGCCTCTGGCTTCTCAGCTAAAGCCTGCCACGAGAATTTCCCTCGGGAAAGCGGGAAGCAAAGGCAGCTACAGCAAAGCGCTCGGACCAGGGCTCTTCTCTTTCACCCAGGAGTTCCACGCGAACAAAGGTCGAAGCCCAGGGGACCTCTCACCACCGAAAACTTTGGGAAGGGGCCGACTAACGAACGC